ATGACAAATACCCCAAAAGGCAGTGAGTGAGACAATAAAACATAATGCTAAAAGTGGAATCTTTTACAAAAATAACAGAAATATTCAATAAAAAGAACTCCAGCATGTTGAGAGAATAACATAACATGATATTTGCAATTATCTGAATTCGTAATACATGTATATACCAAGTTTTGTTGAAATATGTTGAATGGTTCTTGAAATATCACTAGCTGATATGCAAATTAGATAATTTGCATAAATTTCCACCAAAAACTAAATATATCTGGAAACTGCCCCAACACATCTATGCACTAAGTTGTATTAAAACATATTAAATGGTTCTCAAGATATCACCAAAATAGCCTAAATATTGGTATGTAAATTAGGCAATTTGCATAATTTTCCACCAAAATCAATCATGTCTATGAACATTTAAATATGTTGAGTGGTTATGTTTTCATTACAATCACAATAGACCAATCAAAGAAAACTTAGAACTCCCATGTGCTATGTGAGAATGAGAAACAGTTGACAGAACAAATGGGAAACATTATCTCCCTGTGAGCATATAATTTCAATATGGCATCACTGTACAATCTTCCCAAGTTTTGTCCATTTTCCGACAACTGTAGTGCATTGAGGAGAAGGTAATAAAAAAAATCATGAATTTCTGAAATTTTTGATGAATTTGGCCACTTTTAGTGACTGGGTGAAGTGTCATCCAAGCTAGATGTGTACCAAAAAATTTGTAAAGTATTTGTATTTGTAAAGTATCAACAAATTTGGACTACTGGTTTTGAAGAACAAGTCAAAAGTACTATTTTTGATGAAAAATGACAAAATATTTGCTAAAAATAGAGAATTGAAGAACACAAAATGAACAAATCTGATAGAGGTCCACCCAACGTATATACCATGCTAGTTTGAGAACAATCGGACTACCAGTTTCGGAAAAGAAGTCGAAAATAGCATTTTTGACTAAAAATGACAAAAAATATTCACTGAAAATATAAAATTGAAGTTATGGACATGAAATGAACAAATCTAATAGAGGTCCACCCAAGGTATATACATGTACCACGCGAGTTTGAGTGCAATCGGACCATCAGTTTCAGAGAAGAAGTCGAAAATAGCATTTTTAACCAAAAATTACCATTTTAAATTATTCGTTTTGGGGGGCTAATTTGCATAATTACCATCCACACACCAAAAATCGAGTCAAGCGGTTTGGCGGTTTTTGAGAAGAAGTCATGCACAGACAGATAGATAGATATACAGAAAGATGGACGACAGATGCAGGACAGAAACCCATTCCATAGGCTCAGTGGATCTATGGTCCGTTGAGCAAAAAATCAATCATTCCCAGTAGGATTGTGGCACTATTATTTTTGATTTTGGGAATGCCATGAAATTATAAAATTGTGATAATTCCTTGCCAGAAAAATTAAACAGTTTACAAGAACTTGGAAGGCCTACCTGTGAATGTATTCAGCCAAGCATGGGGGGCAGTTAAACTCCATATTCAGACCGTTGATAACTGCTTGTATAAATTCCCTTTGTACTGGTTCTGTAGGTATAGCTAGTCTTTTCAAAAATACATGAACCAGACTGTTTGTCGTGAAGAATGATTTATCTTGACTCCTGTAATACAAAACACATCAATGTTATACCGAATAGACCATTTTCCATTCACTACGAGAATCACGCGCTATGTGTGAAATCAATCGTAAAAACAGGACAAAGAAAGGTCATAGTGGCGTCAAACATCGTGTGGAATTCGACAAACACGAAAGTATTATGGGTGAAATTCCTCTGTCGAAGATCAGCCGGTCGATGTGAGCTACAAAATAAAAAAATTTGAGTTCAAAATCAAATCGTTCGTTTTTTGCGACCGACGTTCTACACGCGTCTTTCATGCAACTCGCAAGATCTCGCAGTTGAACGGAATACAGACTACAGACTCGTATTATGGCGGCTTGACCAGATTGGCTAATCTGCAACTGTAGACATGATGCTACTAAGAATGCACATCAAGTGGAGAACACAACCATTCTATCTGATTTATTAAGCTAATTTTTACAAATGTGGGCCACTGACCCCTTGTAGTTAGAAAACAACTTCATATGTGTTAAACAAAAAGATTGTCATGGAAACCAACCAACCCAGCACTGTCACTTTTTACTTAACCTCGTTCATGAAGATGTCACTGAAAGCATGCACTAAGACAATACAGTGATTGTGTTCTTATTGGAAAAACGTTGCACCTGTTAATTAAAATTAGGGATTTCATATCTTGCACGTTACACCAGAATTGTCTACATAAGTCGAGATATTGTAGCCACTTGATAATAGGCAATGATGGGCAACGTTTTGGTTACAAGGGAGTTCAAACCTCAGATAAATTTAAAACATATTTTTAAGCCGGCTTAACTACAGTTCACGCTGGTTCTCAAACTTAAAATATTCATTGCAACATTCTGAGCGATGTTTGTTCCAACTTCAGCTGACATTCTTCAAACCTCAGATAAATTTAAAACATATTTTTAAGCCGGCTTAATGACAGTTGATGCTGGTTCTGATACCTCCACCTTTGAAGGATACTTAAACTTAAAATATCCATTCCAACATTCAGAGCGATGTTTGTTCTAACTTCGGCTGACATTCTTAATACATAAAACACTGTCACAGGAAGTGTAGGATGGTAAAAACAGTAAGGAAAGTAAGGGAGTCACCCTTTCATATATGACAGACGACCATAGTATGCATCTACCCATGAGCCTTTGCATTTTAGCATGCGTTGTTTTCGTCGATTAGAACTCAATTCCCTCATGTGCATCGGTGACGACACCTCTGCTTTATGTATACACTTTGTTCTTTGACATACATACATGCACTTAGCATGTTAAGTTGATTGTTTGAATGGTCTTGACCATATTCAAATTACAACTGAGGACTAGTCTTGCTTGATTTTTCTGAATCACATTGAATCATTTTAAGCCTGAGGTTTCCATTCACTTTATTTAGTATACTATATTTTAAAATAATTTATTTTAGCTTGATTTAATTTTCGCTGAATAGACTTTTTTGGTGTTTTGTATGGAATTTGTTTTCACTGATTTTTGATGAGTTGAATGTAAAATATAGGAAAAAAGCTATATTCACTGGATTTTATTTTCACTGAATCATTTCCTCAGCGAAAATTAATTCCAAGCGAAAATAAAGTATTCCACAGTATTGTGTTTGTTCAATGGACCCATATGTTCAATTTACGTAAGTGTAATTTAACTAGAGTACAATAACAAACATCTCAGATTTAAACCCAGTGAGTGGATGAATAATTTAAAGATTTTAGAAATGACAAATGAATTGTGTGAAATTTGATAGCAGTTTTCGTGATCAGTTTATTTTAAAGCGGGGCAGTCGTCGTGTCGCATCCTGTTCGATATTATGGGACTCATAGCGACGTATACAATGCATGTAAAATACATTGTTTGTTTACATGAAATTCGAACACGCGCTGCACGACGACCACCGCACTTTAACAGTGCTGTATCTATGACTAAACTTGACATATAATTTTGACAATTATTTGGATTTTAAGCTTCAATGTAGATGCGCAACTGCTTTTACCAGATTTCTGAAAACTGACCGCTATCTTCATGTAAACATTTCAATATGCCATGATCCTGCATGTACGCCTGTCAAATTCTGACGTCATCACACGATTCTAAACATACCTAAAACCTGTACTGCTGTATTCTGGGTAATCACTGATGTCAAATGGTATAGCTTTGGTAAGGATGAGATCAGCATATGCTGCCATGGCAACCACTTGCCAACTGTTCGGCCAATGTCTTGCCGGTTTGTCAGCTGGAGTCCCGCCTTGACCTTTGCACAATGTAATGTGTACTTCACCGTCATCATGGAGAACGTCTACGCAACTGTGAAAGTGAATGTGCAATTAGTTTTCAAATACTGTGAAATACTTTATTTTAGCTGGAATTAATTTTTGCTGATAAGGCATTTTGTATGGAATTTATTTTCACTGATCTTTGTTAAGTTGAATGTGAAATATAAGAAAAAAAGTATATTCGCTGGATTTTATTTTCACGGATTCATCCTTTCAGCGAAAATAGCGAAAATAAATTCCAGGCGAAAATAAAGTATTCTACAGTATTCATTGGTATTCTGGTTTATCTTTTCAACTCTTTGAGCACCAAGCCAACTTGAGGCACCATCCACAAAACAGAAATGTTGCGAAAATTTCAAATTTTTTTATCAAAAACTGGAAACAATGTCACATTTTATCAGTTTGGTCCAAAATTAAGATTGAAAATTCCAAATTTATTCAAATTTAAGTGGGAGAAAAATTTGCATAAAAAAGTTACATATCTACATTTGTTTTATAATGTTGTAATGTTTTTCTGGCTGGCTTCAAAATGTATGTTTCAGGCTGAACAAATTTTTGTCATATTTTTTTAAAAATTTGTATTCACATCTTTTTATTGTCATTCTGATTCTGAAATTGGCAGTCAGTTTATGGTTTACTTTTATTTTTCAAAAATTTTGAAAAAAAATTATAATTAAAAACCAGAACGTCAATGACGTAGATGCTCATCCGGAATTTGGATATGAGAGTAGAAACTTTTAGGTTCTTTTGTTTTTTTATTTTCCTGTTAGTCTTGAATTGACATATTGTCATAGGAAAAACCAATGATGCTGCTTAGATGGAGTCATCATTATGTGTAGTTAGCATCTGTACGAGTTAAAGTGTAGTAAGAAGACCTTCTAAGATAAAGTGTGAATATAGGTTGTGCCCAGAAACTTTGACCATTTAGGGGGAAAGTAGATGAAATAAAGGTTGTCAAATCAAATGAACCCTTATTAAAACAAACGACCTGACGGTCACAATAGCTCATAGAGCTTGGTAATGCTATCATGATTATTGAAAAGGTTATTGAATGACTCTTACAGTGGATAAATGTAAATAGAGCTAAATGAACAAATCTAACAAAATCTATGCAAGGTATACAAACAAAGTGATTGTGTTTCAAGAAAAATTCGTAAAATAACATAAAATGAATAAATCAGACAAAAATCTAAGTCACAAAGCATTCGGGCTACCGGTTTTGAAGAAATCAAAAATTACATTTTTGACCAAAAAAAACACATTTTGGTGTAAATCAAACTTTCAATCTAATGTTTTTGTTTTAATCAACTGTAAATTACATCCTACCAGTAATCTTTATGAGAAATGAGTTTTTATAATTTCAACATTCTAAAATTTAGGTTGAGTATTTTCAGTCAGTTGAGTTTTCAAAAAGTAGAATCTACTGACTGCTAATAAAATAATTATTTTGTCACACTGCATGATGGATACTGAGGACAAAAGTCATAGGAAGTACACATGCTGCCATGCTGAGTTGTTTTTTCAGGGAGCTGGATTCGCGTGTATTTACGGTTTGGCAATCGTTCGACGAATGCCGTTTTTTACAGTAGCTGCAGGGTAACGGAATAAATCGAGTTGCAGATTTACTGTAAGTGTTGAGTTGTGGGAGGCGGTGAATTTGATCCATGGTTGGCGGTCGTCGCTGGTGGGTTTGAAGGGCTGTGTTGAGTTGAACCGTGAAACGCGGATATTTCATGGCGGCTGTTTTGAATGGCCTGCGTCCCCATGTTGAAGCGGCGACTGATGAGGGGTACTTGTCCGGGTTGAGAATATTGTTTTCATGTCCGACGTTGAGAACACGTATTTCTTGAAGCATGCATTTACTTAGCGTGGCTAATGTTGTTGAAAATTAAGCGGTAGTTTTGACAACAACATCGGGATTTCAAAGCTCGTACTGTTGTTTCTAATGCGTCATGAAATTCCCGTAAACTTGTTGCATTGTAATCCGGTGGTCGTTGGGAGGTACGTGAAATTTTGGATATCGGATATATGAGGGTCGTTGTGGACAGCGGCTTTGAAATTATCAATGAATTCA